ATTGATTCATGGAGCAATGTTAGGATCAAGGGCACTGGGATTAAGGGTGTGAGTGCTACCCACCCTGAGTAGCCTGGATAAAATAAAAGGCACAGAAAGATGTTGTTAAGGTCCCCTGTTGCTTTGCCACCTTCTGCTTGCCATGAACTGCTTCTCCTCTGCCATGCCAACCTGCCTTGGAGCCCCCATCCCCACCCCCAGTATAGACTGAAACCTCCACAAACTGTGAGCCAAATAACCCTTTCCTCCTTTAACTTTGGGTGTCAGGTATTTTGTTTCAGCAAGGAGAAAAGTAACCAAGACACTGAGGCTATAGAGTTACGTCTGTCCCCCTAGGGTGGGTACAAGCAAGGATGCAGCCCACCTCCTCATTTCTCCAGCCTCTGTTCTTTTTTAGGGTGGCCTGTTCTTGTTCCTTCATAGGATTGGCCTTGACAGTCATAATTAATCATTGTTAGCATAAAAACTGAAAGAAAAAACCAGCCAATGAGATGCCTTGAGAACAGTTTCTTCCTGTGCTGCTTAAGTGTACTTATTCTGAGTCTTCACCATGAACTGCAGGTAATAATGTACCTACTTCCTAGGACTGTTGCCTGGACTGCAATGCGCTAAAGTCCTTAGAAAGTACAAGATAAATGCCAGCTATTTACATTGTCTCTGTTAACTTCAAACATCCCAGGGAGGAGGGCATGGTTCTGGGGTCTCCCTATCTTCTACTCCCCAACCTTGGACCAGTTTTCTCTTCCTCTCCTAACCTATTTCTGCCTTTGCAAGACAGGGCTAACATTAAGGTTGTGATAGAGATGAAGCCAGAGCACAGGAACTTGCTCAGTGTGTTGTCTAGCGTATTGTACGTGCTCAACATCATGTGAGCATTTGAACTCAGTTTAATTGTAAAGGTGAGTTACACCCAGTGCTCAAACCGTCTCTATACCCATTTCCTAGTGCCTGGAAGCCGCAGGAAAAGAACACTGGGGTGAAAGAAAGTTTGTCAAATCAGCCTTTTGATCTTGCAACTTTTGTTTTCAGCATGTTGAGGGGTGGGGCTTTCAGCATGTTGAGGAGGAGAGACTGTGCTCCAGTCACGATGCTCTCTCCTTTGAAGCCCTTTATTGGTCACGCAGCCTCCTATGCTGACTGAGGCGGACCATGCAGAGCCATTCCTTAACTCATTTTCCAGAATCAGAGGAAAGTTTAACATAACAAAATTTTATAGCTCCTGCCCAGTAACATATATTACTTTTTAAAAAATACAAATACCTTTCCCTTATCATGCGTTATTCTTTTACATGTACGATTTTCCTGACGTATTGAAGCAATATTCCATGGTTTGCTGTGACTTGGAGGTTTATGGCCCTCCGGTGGCAGATCAGACTAAACATAATTCATTCATAGCTACTTAGTGTTCAGGGAAATAAACCCCTGAACTTAAATAACTACAGTGTGACCTCTGTAAAATATTATTTATGGTTTTAAAACTACGATTATGTAGATATCAAGATGTGTCAAATGTTATAACCCAAACACCAGCCAGCAAATGAGACAACTATTATTCCACTTATGTGGCTGTTTCTCCACAATGTTATTTTTGTTTAAATGGATCCTGGGGTAATTACCCAGCAGTGGAAAGCCATGTTCATTTACATTTTATTATAGAATACTATAGCCGTTTAAAAACTCTCCTTTATCAAGAAGCACCCCAACATGTAAACATTCCATTGACACACTGCAGTTTAATAAGAAAGACACCGACTACTTTTGAGCAGAAAGTACCTACTCCACAATCAGTGGAGTAATGTAACCCATCTGCTATTCATTTCTGCAAATTAGTTTATGGGGAAACGCTGATTGTACATTTAAATTATCCAGATGGGAATGCTAAGCTTAGTGTTTCCATGCTGTTAAGAGTGTATGTGTATTCCCAGCATGATTTACCCTAAAGTTTTCAAATGTTTCGAGTGTCCTCTCCGCATCGCGTTTGTTGCCTGAATTACTTCCTGTGATTCAACTGTCTTCTAAGAAACAAAACGTTGAGTGGAAGTAAAGGAATAGAATCTCCAGTGTCTCCACTGTCACTGAGCAAGTGCTTGAGGATCCACAGAGACTGCTGCTGGTGCTTGGCACTGGCAAAGATAAAGCTGAAGGAGAAAAAAAAACCCTCAATTCGCATGGAACTAACAATCCAAACAGGGAGGTGGATAAGCCAATATTTAAGTCTGAGGCAGGGGTAAGACGAAGCTAAGGACAGGAAGTGGAAGAGTGAGGAGGGCATCCCAGGGCCTCACGGAGGACACAACATGGAGTCAGGCCTTGGGGGTGGGTGGGGAGTGTAGACCTGGAGCTTGGGTGAGTGCGACCTTGTGACTAGGACAGGAGTGGATTTGGCTCAGGCCTCTCCCGGTTACACAGTGTGGCTGCAGTCTGGTGCGGTGCTGGAGGAAACGCGCATGGAGATTTAGTCAGGAACCTCTGCATGGCCTGCTAAGGCATTTACCCCCCAGCAACACCCCAGGGGGTGTGCTTAGTTAGGCCTGACTGATTTTAAGTAGAGGGATATCATGGTGAGATTTGTGTCTGGGGTCCTTTGTTATGGCTGTGATGTTGGGGGCGGTGTCCACTGGATCCCCCTTTAGGAGGCCCTCCAACTTCCAGATGAAAAATAACCAGGCCTTGGGCCAGCTAGGCGATGAAGGGAGTGCCTGTAGGATATGGAAGCACCAGGGTCTGAGAACACTCCAGGGGGGAAGAAACAAAGGGCAAAGTGAAGCAGGCAGTTTTGGGTTTTGGTTTGGGTGACTGAGGACATGGAGTCCTTTTAAGCCAATGGGGTAGGTTTGGAGGAAGGCCCAGAGAGTTTAGCACTGACTGCCTGGGATGCCTGAGGCCTGCCAGACATTCCGGCATGTCCTAGAGGTGTCTGGAAATGGAAGCTTGGAGAGAAGGAGTTGAAGAAGATTGCCACGATATATGTGATGTTCAGTGATATTTTTATTTTTTATTTATTTATTTATTTATTCATTCATTCATTCATTCATTCATTCCAGTACGGGGAATCAAACTCAAGACCTTGCACTTGCCAGGCAGGTGCTATGCTGCTGAGCTAAATCCCTACTCCCTCGGTGATATTTTTAAAGAGTCATGAAAGTGAATACGTGAGTTAATTTTCTCCTTTAAGAAACACTGCAGAAATACCATTGTTCGGTTTTTGTTTGTTTGTTTTTTTGGTTTTTCTCCAGTACCGGAACCGAACTCACGACCTTGCGCTTGCCAGGCAGGCGCTTTGCCGCTGAGCTAAATCCCCAGCCCCTGTTTTTTTGTTGTTTGTTTGTTTGTTTTTTTGGTTCGGTTTTTGCAAATTATGTTGAAGTAACAGATAAGTGTTAATCCTTAAAGACTTATAGCTTCAGGCTTTTCAAAGAATACTACTTAAAAAACAAACAAACAAAGAATACTACTTACTTTAACTAAATAAGACGAGGCTGAGGACAGGACGTGGAAGAGTGAGAAGGGCTCACACGGTGAGGACACGGTGGCACACACCTGTAATCCCAGCACTCAGGAAGCTGAGGCAGGAAGACTTCTGCAAGTCTGAGGCCAGCCTGGGGTTAAACAGTAAGTTTAAGGCCAGTCTGGACTATACAGTAAGACCCTGACTAAAAAATACTAAACAGAATGAGTACCATTCTTTGTTTTGGGGGGGGGCGGTGAGGAGGGTACTGGGGATTGAATCCAGAGCCTTCCCACTGAGCTACATTCCCAGCTCCCTTTTATTTAAATTTTTATTATTTTTTGTTTTTTTTTATTAGAACATTTTTGCAATACACAGCGACTACATTCATTATGGCTTGGTACATGCACGTAACACATCTTCATTCTTTTTTTATGTCCCCTTGCCCTCCCTTCCCTTCACTGTCTTGCTCCCTTTAAATTTTTTTTTTTTTTTTTTGACACAGGGTCTAATAAACCACTAAATTGCTCAGGCTGGCTTGAACTTGTGCTCTGACTGTCCCGTCTCATCCTCCCAGATTGCTGGGATTACAGGTGTGTGCCACCACGCTGGCCCTGGAATATCACTCGCTTCACCAGGTTTGCACAAAACTGAGCATGGTGGAAAGGAATACATCTCTACCTCTTTGGTCTTGATGGCTTTCCAAGAGCGCATACATTTTGATGGATAAGATGAATGAGACCACATGGTGTTAAGCACCTTGGACTTTCAAGAGCAAAGGCCTTTTAGAAGAACAAAGTATCATTATTAATGACATATGACTTACAGTTTTCATCAGGAATGTAAGGTTCCACCCACTTTAATGGGAACTTAGTTATGACCTCAAGGCGCAGGGCAAGGCTATTAGCTGAGGGTCTTGACAGTAATACCTTTTGCTTCTAAAGAAAAAGATAAATCACAAGGGAACGGGTTCAGAAGGCAGTGAGTCACCATCCACTTGCTGAACTTCTCAAAACCTTGTCACCAGCAACCCTGACAGGGTTCCTTGCCTTCTGCGATGGCTTCCTTTGCTGTGAACCCTTTCCTCCTGGGACCCTCTCTGACCAAGAAAAATGCCTCCTGCACCTTCCTTTTCTCATCTTCTCCTGCCTCTGTGCAACCGCTAAACAGTCGGTGTTTCATTTCATGGCCCAGTAGGATTTTTCTCTGCCTTCTGGGAGCTTGCACGGCCAGGTACATTAAGGATGCTGGTGTCTGGGAGTGGCCGAGTTGACAGGAGGACCATCCTAACACAAGGAGGCCAGGTACTGGGGAGCACTCTCCCCTGCACACGCATTATTACTATCAGGGAAGTTATGGACCAGGGCTGTATCCATAGCATCAACAATCAGAAAATTGTTAGAAAACTTTGCAAAATCTTCACAAAGTGCTGCTCTCGTGTAAGATCTCTTTGGGACCTTAATGTGTCCAGTCAGATTTGCTAAGGGCTTTTTAATGACTCTTTAAAAACAACTGTTTTTGTTGGAGGGAATTAAGAGAAATTCTCCTGGGGGAGAAGATAAAATTTTGTTTTTAATTTGCCATCTAAGATCAGCCAGCTGTATTTTATGTACAAAAAACATCTGGGATGCAAAGAAATGTCCAATGAAAATAAAGGAAGAGGGAATTTACTTGTATTATAGTAATGATCGACTTGCAGCCAGGAGCAAGTAAGGAATGGATTGATTGTGGTTCTCCCACCAACTCACCCTTGAGAAGTTTCTCAGGATTCCTGAGATCACCCACGCAGAAGAGGGCACGAGGCTGAAAGCGAGGCAGAAGGGGTGGTTATACACTGCACAGTGACATGTGCTCTACAGGAAATTCCAGACTTTTATTGTCCTTCCAATTTTTAACAATTGAGTCACCAGCAAATTGCTGATTTGATAATGGAGGCACCTGGAAGATTTTTCTTGTTCTCTTACTGCTGAGGACCTCTCGCTGACCATGTTACTTTCTCTTTTGTTTGTGCTTTCATTGGACAAGGTAGGCCGAAGCACATTTCCAATGCAGCTCTTTTCCATCTTGCTTAGGAGACACAGCTGCCTCTAGCTAGGGAACCGGTACTGGGCAACACAGGACTTCATCTCAGCTAGAATCCTGAGACACCAGGCAAAATGCTATCAGCCACAGGGGTCAGTGCAGGAAAATATTTCATGTTTTCATTTTTAAAGTTTCCGCTGCTTTGTAGTCCCAAATGCCCAACAATTAACTGAAGTTTACAATTCGAGTAAAATACACAGAGAAGCAAGAATTATGACCATGTTCTTCAATATCTATCAATACCAAAAAATTTAAAATATCAACCGCATTTATCAAATTCAAGTAATAGGGAGGGTCATTTAATTCATACGCATGTTGATGCTGCTGTAAGTTCAAATTCTGTTTTAGGAAATTAACAATGAAAGACTGAGCTCATTTTGAGCCTTATTCTGAAAGATTTCCCTGCTGCATTATAAATCTGTTATTAACAAATGAGGAAAATGGCTGGTAGTATTTGTACCTTTAAGATCAGAGTTCAAAAGAACTAAGCAAACATGATAATAAAGCAAAGACAAACATAACCTTTATTCTCTTTTAGAATTGCAGAAAGTAGGATCCATTAATTTTAATAGTATGGTATCCATTAATTTAATCAGAATACCTTAGGACTTAGGGTCTTATTTGAAATTTTATAGCAACAGACTATTTAAAAAATACTAGTAAAATATACTCTGCTCTCAAATTACATGGTAGAAAATATAGTAAGCATTCTTCTCCGACACAGAAGATCTGGGCTACTGAGCTGGTCAAATATTCATAATAAATAAAAATGAGTCAAAGCATATGTAATGATGCTTTTGTAGCCTAAAATCACAATATTAGATTTGACAACAAAATTGTATCACATTTAGGAGTTTGGAAACCAACATGTTGGAATTACTAAGTACTTGTTATATCTAAATAATGGAACAGACTCTCTTAAATCATTCCTAGAAGATTCAGAGACAGACCTCATGACATGCATGTTATCCGTCCATCAATAATTTTCAAAGAATTATAAGAGTCTCATAAAATCAATGTGAACTATTCAATACAATTTAAGATTACACTACTGGAAGCTAAAACATTCTTCAAGATCTTGCACTACCGTAGACTAATGAGAATAAACAGTAGTAACTGGAAAAAGCTATAATAGATAGCAGGCACTGGAGAATTCCCATGAATTATCAAAGAACTCTTTGGTTCCACAAATAACCTGGCAAAATGGTTTTACTTTTAAGTTCTTCTGCCTTAAAAGGGTTTTTGTATAAAAATATTCTATTGGTCTACTTTACACATATTGATGGATTCTAGTGGATCAATAAAATCAACTGCCTGGTTTTACCATTACCTCAAAGGTTCAAATAATTCTAAAATTCTAGTTTACACATAAGATATTTCTCATGATTACTAGAGGAATCATGTAATAAACATGATTACTAGAAACAAATATGTTTCACTTGAGAACATAAATATAAACCCCTTCTATTTCAGATCTAAGACAAAAGGCATGAATGAAGCCCTTCCTCTTAAACATTAAAAAAAAAAAATCAGCCAACACAGGACTGATAACTGTCAGGAGACAGGGGTGTGATAGCACAGGATAGCTTCCCCTCTAAGATTCCTCCCAACTCTGGGCTTTTAAGCTTAAAGCACCCTCACTGAGCCACACAAACTGGTATTGTCAACTTTTACGCAGCATGCGGTAAAGTCTGTTTTACACCCAAAGTACAGGATGAGTTGACACAAACCCTGGCACAACCCATTTGCCAAGTTTTCCAGCGGTAGCATCTTTCCCCACCCACTGCACAGACAGAGAGGACTTCCTCTGTTTAAGGCCGCACCATGATGGGCCCTGCCCCTAGGAACAAATTACTAGCTGAAAAAGTGAACTAGGGTTACTGTGAACTCAGATTACTGCTTCAGGCCAAGAATGCAATCCCCAAATGAGAGGGAATACAGGAAACTCCAGAAGATCTTGTTAAACACGACTTGGAGTGATTCATGCCAGCCTCGGTGTGTCCAGGCTGGGGGGTTGGTGGTAACCTATGCACAACAAGCACATTCTCCCCAGCTCTGCGTTTCTGCCAATTAACTGTGGGCCGCACTGTCGATCCCAACTCCCCACCAGACCCTACACCCCACGCCCCAAGCCAAGCTCCGTTGCCAGAGTCGGGCGTCACCGGCTGGCTGCCTGAAATGAAATGAGAACATCCCAGCTCTCTCAATCACTCGTCCCGCAAGGGCTGAATAGTAGTCTCTAGGGTTCTGGAATTCTACAGTCCTTAAGAACCTGACATGTCAACTTGGTAAGCCAGGAAGTAGACGGAGAATTTGCAAGGTTTCCCTTGCGCCCCAACTCCCCCAGACCAACCGGAGAGTCTGCGGGCACCAGGGGAAAGAGGAGAACCCCTTTCTCTGGGCCTTCTATCCACAGCAGTAGGCAAAGTGCGGAGAGCTCGACAGGGGGTGAGGGGAGATAGCGGGACGCCCAGGGGCGCTCTGAAGGCCTCTGGCCGGAAGCCCAAAGGGTCCTCGGGGAGCTGGCCTCACTCATCGTCGTTGTCGTCGTCGTCCTGGTCCTGGAAGCGAATGTAGACGGCCAGCATGACGAAGCCCACGACGATGCAGAGAGAGCCGACGACCAGGTAGGCGATGCCCAGGAAGGGATTCTTGCCGCCCATCCACGAGATGTTGCTGAACACGAGGAGCTTGTGGCCGCCGAAGGCGCGCACCGGGTAGTTGTAGGCGATGTCCACGCGGTAGGCGCCGCTGGGCAGCCCGGCCGAGTAGTTGCCCTGGCGGATGCGCGCGTACAGCTTGCGGAAGGTGGGCAGCGCCGCCGTGCGCATCCACACCACGAAGTCCTGGTTGACGAAGCCGGTGTTGTTGGGGTCCGGGCTCAGCTCGTAGACCGGCCGGCGCCAGTTGGGGGGCGGCGCGGTGCCCCGGAAGGCGAGCGCCAGGCTGCCGTTGACGAGCGGCGGGTTGCGGAACTTGACGTGGTAGTCGGTCCACCAGGCGATGGCCGCGCGGTCCAGCGGCACCTCCACGTAGGGCGCGCCGGGCCGGCGCTGGTGCCACAGCGAGAAGGTGTCGTTGAAGAGGCTGTTGGCGACGGCGCCGCAGGGCGCCACGGGCAGGCCGCCGGAGAACTGGTAGGGGGCGCACTCGTTGGCCGGGCGGCGCAGCGCGCCGGGCAGCCCGCTGAGCTGCGCGTCGTCGCGGGACACGCCGTAGCGCCGGTTGTTCTGGTAGAAGCCGGTGAGCTCGTAGTAGAGGTACACGGGCCCCGGGAAGAGCTCGGGCAGCGTGAAGTGCCAGGCGCACGAGCAGGGCGGCGGCGGCGCGCGGCCCTGGCCCTGGGCGGCGCACGCGGCGCAGCTGCCCGCGCCCGCGTCGCCCGTGTAGTCGTGCTCCAGCTCCTGGATGGCGTTGGACGAGTAGTACAGCCCCAGGCCCAGCCCGAGGAAGGCCAGGCCGGCGCAGAAGAAGAGCGGCAGCGCGATGCCGGCCGACAGCAGCGGCTGCCAGGCGGGGAGGCGCTGCTGCGTGAACGCGGTGTTGTCGGGCTGGTGCAAGCCCCGCGCCGCGGCGCTCCAGGTCATGGTGGCCCCGGCGCACGGCCGCGTCTCCG